CTGCGGCCACTGGCCTGGGGAGGGCGCCGAGACCACTAGCCCAGCGAGGTGAGGGTCCAGCACCCGATGTAAGCGGTAGTAGACAGTGGGTCCTCCGTGGGGGGCCCAGTGGACCCTGCGGCCACCAGGCTCCAGGTGAGACACCAGGAAGCACTTCCGGAGAGTTAGGGTCTGGGGACCGGATCTGATAGCCCTGGGAGAGACCTGAATGGGCCGCGGGTTCGGCCGCTTCCGACGTTCGAGGACAGCTGGCCACCGGGGGCGCCAGAAGGCGGCCGGCGCTCTAGCCCGCCCGCGTTCTCTATGGCCGCCGCGTCTCCGAGCTGCGCCGACCGGGCCAGAGCGCTGCCGCAGCGCCGCCGTGGAGGAAGCCTGCAGTTCTTTGGGGTTCTGACGCCCCCAGGACCCAAGGGCGCGGGTGCGGACGGCAGCCTGTCCAACCCTGGCCCAGCCCCAGGGCCGTGCCGCTCTGTGACCCCTGACCCCATCCCGACCGGACCGGACCCCCCTCGGAAGCACCCTGCCCCCACTCTGAGTGGAACCTCTCATGCCGCCCCGGCCGGCCTTGAACCCAGACCCAGCCACTGGAGCTTGGGCCCGGGCCCCTGCCCCCGCCCCAGCGCCCGGCCTCGCCATGCGTGGGAAGCTGCTGCCGCTGGCCGGCCTTTACCTGGTGCAGGGCCTGCCCTATGGGCTGCAGTCTGGGCTGCTGCCCGTGCTGCTGCGGGCCCGCGGCCTCTCCCTGACATGCGTGGGACTGGCCAAGGCGCTGTACGCACCGTGGCTGTTCAAGCTTGTGTGGGCCCCGCTGGTGGACACTCGGGGCTCCCCAAGGGCCTGGCTGACGCTCAGCACAGCTGCTCTGGGCCTGGTGTGGGGGCTGCTGGCATCCCACCCTCCCGCCGCAGCTGGTCAGGCCGGTCTGCCTGTCATGGTGGCGGGGCTGCTTCTGCTGCTTAATCTGGCTGCAGCTGTGCAGGATGTGGCCCTGGACATGCTGGCTGTACGCCTCCTGGAGCCCGCAGAGCTGGGGCCTGGCAACACTGTGCAGGTGGTCGCATACAAGCTGGGGGCGGGCTGCCGGCCTTTGTGCCCACCCTCTCCTGGCCCCTGCTCTTTCTGCTCCTGGCTGCCACTTATTGGTTGGCTGCCGCCTTGACCTGGGTGGCACCAGCCCTGCGACAGCTTCCCACACCTCTGCCCTCAGAACACCCCCGACACACCCTGCACCTTGGGCAGGACTTGCTGGCCGTGCCTGGGACCCTGTGGACAGTGGGCTTCGTGCTCACCTACAAGCTGGGTGAGTCAGGAGCAGCAGGGGTGGGTCCCCAGGAGCCCTGGAACTCACTTGCAGGGCTGCCTTTCCTCTTGGGGGTCTGACCTGAAGTCTGGAGCCCAGCCCGGCCCCCTACAGGTCCAGCTCCGGCCACACTCCCTTGGGCCTCTCTGGGCTGCTTCACGCTGACCCTGAGTGTCGTCGAAGCCCAGCCCCAGCTGTCTCCTGGCATCTGTGGCCCAGGAAAAAGGCAGGGCTGGGGGAGCATGACTGAGACCCAGGTGGAGGTGTGCCAGCCACCCCTGCTGACTCTCTCCACAGGTGAGTGGGGGCACCAGCAGCCTGTTCCCACTGCCCTTGCTAGACTGTGGCATCTCTGCCCCAGAGCTGAGGCTGTGGAATGGTGTGGGCGCTGTGGCCTGCTCCATTGCTGGCTCATCCCTGGGGGGTCCCTCCTGGCCAGGCACCGGTGAACCCCCCTTAGCCTGCCCCATCACCCCACCCCAGGCAGCCACTGCCCCTGTTGAAGTCAGCGCTTCATTTCCGTCTTGGGGGCCTTGCCTACCAGACTGCCGTGGTCTTTCACCTGGACAGCCCTGGGGCCAGCCTGGCCCCCAGCACAGTCCTGAGAGGTGAGGGGTGGGCCACAGGGGGAGGGGCTTGGGGTCCTGGGCCCTGCTGACCTCAGCCCTCTGAGGGGCAGCCCTGCTGAGCCTGTGTCTGCAGCACTTCCCAGGGGGCCTGGTCACAACCACCACCTTCACTCTGATGATGCGCTGCAGCCAGCTGGCACCAAGTGTCCTGCAGGTGAGGGGATGTGGCTGCAACACCAGGGGCTGCAAGACTGGAGTCCAAGCAGGTCCTGACGTGACTCCCCCCTCCCCCAGCAGGCCACACACTACAGTCTCCTGGCCACTCTGGAGCTGCTGGGGAAGCTGCTGATGGGCACGCTGGCTGGAGCCCTGGCGGACAGCCTGGGGCCACGCCTCTGCTTCTCCGTCTTCCTCGCTCTCTCAGCTGCACCCATGCTGTACCTGGGCCTTGCACCCAACACTCTGGCCTGAACTGGGTGGCCAGATTTATCAATAAAGTAGAGTGTGCCTTTGGACTGTGTCTGGGATGAGTGACGTGCAAGGTTGTCCTCAAACTGGGGGGTTGTCCGCGCTGGAAGAAGGGTTCCTGAAAATGACTCGAGCATCTTTTATTCTGCACTTTGGGGCCTCCTTGCCCCCACGCTACTGGTGGTGGTCTTTGTCCAGAGTGGTTGGTCGCTGTCCTGGCCACTGATATCTATGCCCATCTTTGCCTCGAGGACCTGTTGCACCTGACACCCCCCCATGCTGTGGCCACGCAGCCCCTGCTCAGGCCCATGCTTGTGACGTGGGGGAACTGGGTCCTTCCGCGGCAGGGTGGTCAGCAGCCTCACAGCAGGATCTCCTCTGTGGCCAAGCGCACGAGGGCATGGAAGCTCAGGTGCAGGTACTTTCTCCAGAAGCGCTTGTCCCGCCCGTACACCTGGGCCGGATAGCAGGGGCTTCCTGCAGTGGGAGGAGACACAGCTCTGAGGACTCCGGCCAGGTCTGCCCCCAGCCCCCGCCTTGCTCAGGGCTGGGCCTCCCAGGTCCGCACCGATGCCGTGGAAGATCCGGGCCACAGCCCTGCCCGAGAACCGCTGCTCTGGCCACGAGGACAGGAGGTGGCGGATGTCCCGGCGGATCTGGTCCTCCCAGTCCTGGAGCTGCCGGTGGGGACACGTGGCATGCTGTTCCGCAGTGCTCGGTGAGGGGCGGGAGGCAGGTGTGTGCCTGCAGCCGGGGGTGCGTCCTCTCTGCAACTCCTCTCCCCCTCCCGCCTCCCCGGAGGCCCTGACACTCACCCTGGCCTGTCCTGGTTCAGGGTCCTCCTCGGCCTCCACGCCCCCCAGTGCTTCTAACTCCTCCTCGAAGTAGTGGCTGAGCAGGGCCTTGAGCCTACTGCTGCGTGCCTCGTCGGGCTGCTCCAGACACGGCCCGCAACTGGGGAAGGCCACACTGGGGTGGGGAGAACCCGTCAGAGCAGCCCACCTTGGGGAGGGTGGGGTGGCCCAGGCCCAGGCCCTGCCCACCCCCTCCTGCACCTGTGGAAAGCCCGGAAGGTGCGGTGCAGGTGAGCCAGGGCCTCTCGCTCACGGGCCTGCACGCGGCCGTGCAGGAAGTCACAGATCTGGTCCCTCTCCTGGGCTGTCAGGTCCCCGGGGCTGTGCAGGTGGAAGGCCAGCTCCCTGAACTCCACCAGCACCCCCGTGCCCTGAGGCACACCTGCCAGATAGGGTGTCAGAAACTGGCAGAAAGGTGGCAAACAGGCAGCAAGCAGGGCTGGGGGCGGGCCCACCTGTCCCGGGCTCTGGATCCCACCGCAGCCGGTGGAGAGCCCGCCGCACGGGGGCCAGCTCCCAGCCCATGGAGTCTGCCAGCTCGACCACGGCCAGCTCCACAGAAATACTTCCCCCACCTGTCGTCTTGGGGCACTGCCGGGCCAGACACACAGCCAGCGGGGGACACCTGTACCAGGGCAAGGGACGTGTGACCGGCAGCCCTGGCTCTCTGTCCCCATCCTGAGCCCGGGGTGGGATTGCACTCACCTGCGGGCCAGGGCCTGGAGCTGGGTGGGGCCCCCAGGGCAGCGCAGGTGGCAGCAGGCATAGGTGGGCGCCAGCAGCTTCAGCCAACGCTGTGGGTGCAGCTCAAGGTAGCACAGCAGAGTCTCGATGGCTGGGGGGCAGAACAGGGCTCAGAAGATGCGGGGGTGTTGGGGTGCTGAGGTGTACCCCCCACCCCCACGCTCCCTGCTCCTCACCCTCCTCGGGCAAATCCAGGGCTTGCACAGTTGGCTGCACCGGGAGCGCCCGCTTGTGGCCCGGGCACCGGGTTGTGTGCTCGAGGCTGGGATGGTCAGCATCCTGAGATGTAGCCACAAGGACCTTGGCCGAGTGCCTCTCCTGGCTCTCATCTCCCTGCTGCTCTGGGGGCTGCCGGGCGCAAGCACAAGGAGGGAACACGTGCTGCACCAGCCTCTTCACGGCGAGGAAGTCGATGACGTTGGCGTGAACATGTCTGCGCAGCTCCCACAGATCCTCACCCTGCGACAGAGCAGCACGAATGTGGGGCCGCAGCAGGGGGCGGGGCTGGGGGAGCGGTGGGGGGACGGGTACCCACCTGGGGCCGGAGGAAGACATGGCAGTGTGCAGGCTGCCCATCACGCCCAGCCCGGCCCACAGCCTGCACGTAGCTCTCAAAGCTTGGGGGCAACCCCAGGTGCAGCACGGCCCGCACGTCTGGCCGGTCCAGTCCCATCCCAAAGGCCACCGTGGCCACCACCACCCGCAGCCGGCCCTCCATGAAGGCCCGTTGCACCCGCCGCCGCTCCCGGCTGCCCATGCCGGCGTGGTAGGCTTCAGCCACAGCCTCCGGGGCTCGGCCTGCAGGGAAGACCCACGATGGTCAGGTGGGGCACGTGCCCGGGGCCCATCTGTGGAGTGCAGGCCTGCCTCTACCTCACCTCGGGATCCTGGGGCCTGGGCCTCACGCAGGCAGGTGCGCAGCAGGGCAGCGACACGCTCCGTGTCCTCTCGCCTGTTACAGTAGACGATGACAGAGTCCAGGGCACGGAAACGGTCACTCTGCAGCAGCGCCACCAGAGCCTGGAGAGGACAAGGTTGAGCACGAGCAGTCAGAAGGCAGGGCCTCAGCTCGGCCCACACGTGCATGCTTACCTGGTCTGGGTCCCTGTCCGAAGACACAGAGAGGTGCAGATTGGCAGGGATGGTGCCCGGCCCCCTGAGGATAGAGTCTTCGGCCACGCCCAGGTGCCGGGCAACGTCAAGGGCGCTGCTGCGTGTTGCCGTGGCTGTGAGGCCCAGGAAGCAGCTGATACCCATGCGTTCCCGCAACACCTGCGTGGAGAGTGGTGAGATGCCCAACCTTCCTTGGTCTGCTCACGTAGCACCCTCACTGCCCCCCCGCACAAGGCTTACCTGGCAGACACGCAGGTAGCAGGGCCGGAAGTTGTGGGACCACTGGGAGACGCAGTGGGCCTCATCGATGCAGGCAAAGGCGACCAGTGGCAGCTGAGCGAGGAGGGCAGCGCCCCCCGCCCCAACTAGCGCCTCTGGTGACAGCATCAGCACTTGCACCTGGGCTGACCGAACCTGAGGATGACGGCAAGGTCAGGAGCACCGCCAAGGGGGTCTGCCTGCTGCCTCTGCCGCTCTCGCCCTGTGAGGGTCCCTTACCTTCTGCAGGGCGGAGGCCCGCTCCTTCTTGGTCATCCCCGAGTGGATGCAGACCGCCTTCAGGCCTGGGGGCAAGCCGGAAACC